CGTGGTAGTGGATAACTGCTTTTCTTAGTTACGTTGTTGAGCTGTCGATAATCCACATAAAAACGGGTTGTCCCATCTTTCGCCCTTACCAATACGACTTGTGATGTCCATGGACTTGAGGATGGTTCAATTATGCCGGTCTCCTGCATTTCGTGGATTATTCGCTCTTCTTCTTCCTTCTTGGCCAGGGGCAATCGTCTAGGTCTTTGACGAATAGGCTGCGCATTACCGGTATTGTTCTTGTGTTTTACGGTATTGGTCTGTATCCTACCATTCTTGTCAGTCTCAAAGGCGTCGGCATTCTGACAAGGTAGATGTTGCACTTTGCATTTCTGCTCACTGGTTAGATTCCTACAATTTCTGTCAATCACTACACCTATTTCAACAGGTACTGTTACAGAATTTAACTGCTGTTGACGTCGAGTACTTAAACCTCTTTCCTTCATCAAATAATTAAATTTCCATACTAAAGCTCTATATGCTTGTTTAAAGCTGCATAGTGCTTTGCTAAGTTTACACACATGACCTGGTGCAGCTTATGTCCGTTTAGTATTTGCATATAATTTTTTTCTTGTTAATGTCCATTCAGGAAAGTAATTTTAAAATCCATCTAACGGGTAAGAAGATTGATTTGCGAATGCTAAAAAGATACGAAATGTGGAGATCCTAGCAAGTAGTGCAAAGGTTTCATCATAATCTTTAAACCATTTTTGACTAAAATTCCTTGTTACCAAACGACCATTACATTTCGTAGGATTTTCATTTGTATCTTTCTTGATTGCAAATACCTACAAACAACTTATTATACTATTATCTAAGGTTTTCGATACAATAGTCCAAATTGAAGTGCAATGAATTTAATTCGTCTTTAATTGCCAACTCCCATTAAATTCTGTCATCCATATTCTGAATATCAAAATGATTAACCGTTACTACACTACGATTATTCAACAAATACGTGGTGTATTAATAAATTTTCGTAAAAATCTTCAGTATATTTCGGTTTCTTGAATTTTTAATTCTGGTACTTCTACGAACTTGGTTTCTATTTTCTGAGTTTTATTTGATATTTCTTCACAATTTGTGCTCAAACCAAGAATTATAAGAATTAAATTAATTAATTTATCAGTTGCCAGAGTAATAATTTTTTATTTGACATTTGACCTTGATATTTGTTTCGTCAAAAATGACGTCCCTAACAGTTATAATATTCTCGCATTCTACGCTCCATAACAAGTTGAAGGACAAAACGTAATTAACTAAAAATATGCGACAAAGTTGAATTTATTGTAACACCACCACCAATACCTACCAAACCAACAAAGGAAAACACGTTCGCAGAACCAAGTATGGGCAAAAACCCAACAGGGCGATACCCTGCCTGGAGCAATTGAATTCCTAGAACCTGCAAAATATGGACAGAATGTCATAAAATTAAAAAAGGGTGAGTGCGACTGTTGACTGATATTGACCCTATCTATTGTAGTTATGCCGACACTGTAATTATATGAGAGGTACTATTTGCATAACATTCTATAAAACTATTTCTTGTAACTTTATCGCGACGAATATTTAAATTGTAGGTATTCCTTTGGTGTAATAAAATGAATTATATTCAACATTTGTGAATAATACTGAGCGATAGAAACAAAATCCAAAATTAAAACTGCAACAACTACTTTTATTTCTTTTATGGGTGACCTTTTTATTAGAAATGTTGCAGTTAATACTAATTCTTCTCAAAACGATTTTTGTACATCTGCAGAGTCCAACATTGCACGTGCTTTATCTGTTATTGCATCAATGAAATTTTATTATCAACAGTTGTTAATTTAATAGGATCACATGCATTAGAATGGATTATACAGGGTAGTCCATTAAGCGCGCCTTGCTCTTTAGCGGCCTTGCCGTTGAAATCGGAAGAAAACATTTCCAATAATAAATGTTCATGGTCAAATGATCCATCTGCGGAAAATAAGTTTAGAGATGGCATCAGCTGCTTTATCTTAAATGGAACACCCTGTATATTATTAATATAATAATAATGTGTAACGTTGATATAAACCGTTTATCTTCATTTTTAATAATTCATTGTAAGTAAAGTTTGTTCCCAGTATTGTTTATATCGGAGTTTTATTCACTTTGGCAATAATTCATTTTAAGAAAATTCTGCTCGTGAAGTCACGGCAATCTTTTATGACATTAATTGTTTGTGTTGTGTTGGGTTTAAGTAATTTTATCAATAATTCGAATAAACATGAAAGAATTTGTTTTCGGCTATGGACCCATGCTGCCTAGGATCTATCAGTTTTCTCTACACATTACAGAATAATTAACGAATCGCAATTGTTTTGAAAACCGTTAAGCGTAGACCCTAATATGCCTCAATAAAATCGAAAGAGAATTTAATTTTGCATCCAACGATGTTAAAATGAACATAGCTTTCCATTTGAAAAAAATGAGCTATTGATATTTGAAATATTTAAAATTTGAACATTACTAGTGTAAAGATTTAATGTGAAAGAAATTTTTAGATGGAAAACCAAGTCCATTTGTTGCTCTTTTCAACAGTGACAGCCGCATCTCTTTACCGAGTATAATTGTCGAGTTCTTAAAATTGTTGTAAGGTACTACAAACGTCAAATTTTCTAAAGATTACTAAATAACTCCAAAAAGATACCGCACAAACTATGCTTAACAAGTTGGACATGAAAATCTATGCTGAATTCAAAAATGCAATAATATATAGGGTGTTCCATTTAAAATAAGGCAGCTGATGTACACTTCCGGTATATCCGAAAGTCCGCCATCTCTGAAATTATTTTTCGCAGATGGTCATTTGACCAGAAACATTTTCTTCCAATTTTAACGACGAGATCGCCAGAGAGCAAGGCGCGCTTGATGGACCACTCTGTATATATAGGTCGATTAATAAGGTCTATATTTTTTATTTTATTGAATGGAAGTCGCGCTTGTTTAGCCTCAATACAAGCTTCACATAATCTGTCAGTAACTGATACATGAACAAGATCAAGAACATCATCAAGCGGTTTGCTATTTAGAAATTAGTAAATGCTAGTGTTACTCCTTTAGCTAACCATAAATCCAAAACCGTCACTGTAAGCAACATTGATTTTTCGAGTACGTTGATTTCCACTGATATTACTTAGTTGATGTGATAGTATTCTTTTGTAGTAACGGAAATCAGCTTTAACATGATTCTGCCGAACAAAATGATCACACAGTGGATTGTAGAAATATTGTAATTTCTATTATAATACGTTTTCTTTAGATCCATTTTCTTGAATTTTAACTTGTGTGTCGTATTTGGTTTGTAACACTCCCACCTGCTTTTGGTATCACTGGAGATACTTTGGACTTTAACACCTTCATACTATTTGATCCATCATTGCTTTGCATTTAACTTCAGGATCAAGGAGGCGATGTTTTAACAAATGCAAGATTAATATGATCTTGTCCAGTGTTGTAATCACCCCATCATAAGAACTTGATAACGTAAGCAGCAAAAAAGATACTTTGTCCATCTCATTAAACACCGCAACTGTTCCTATTAAATCAGCAATGACAGAACTAAATTTGGTGAAATTTTGGAACAAGGTAATATCTCTTTCCAATTTGAGACTTAAAAATTGTTTGCGTAGGGCAAATTGTGTCATTAACAATCAATCACTTGGGTTAAAACGTGGGAGCTATAGCAATTAACATTTATTAATTATGTTTGGTTTGTATTTACTGTTCACATAAAAATGCCTGAGTTGCATATCCGTCGAATAAGAGTATGCGGTTGTCATTTACACAAATCAAGTGTTTGGTAAAAATATGTGTGCATCAAAATCGTGACTGAACTACAATAGTATATATATCTTTAAAAGGTAAACACATGCTAAAAAAATATAATTTCATAAGAAGAATAATGTACAACTGATTTATATGCCATTAGGCCTGAATATGAATTGAATTCTAATTAAACTAGGTAATGATTGTGAAGGTAAACGGTAATAGAACCAAAGTCAAATAACTCATAGTTTTCTAATAATAAAGGTACTGCCCCTATCTCTAGTTTTCTTGAATAATTGATAATGAATTAAATATAAGCAATGTGATGCTAAATTTCAAAATCCAATATAACCGCCGTAGCTACATAGCAATACGGTGTCAACTGGTGAACTATTGACTTCATTCTTTCTATTCTGTCAATTGTTCCGCTAATGTGATGACCTGTACTTAACCAGCTGACTAAGCTTTTGGCTATAATTGCTGTGTAACTAAATTCACTTCTTTGGCGAAATTGTCAAACTTCTTCAAGTCATTGGACAAGCATTTATAAAGGTAAGCTGACATTGTGCTTGATCCTTGGCGTCGCTTTGTTTACATTGAATTAATTATCAATTGCACATCAAACGGGGCATTGTTTTAGTCGAGTAGTATCTTTCATTTGATGTGAGATATGATTAGCAATTAGTGAGTAATTTGAATTTGAAATCTCCCCTTTATTCTAACTAAATCCCGTAGTATACACTTCGTTTATTCTCCTAATATATCATTACGATTGTAATAATTATCATATGTACGAGTATTGTAATTAAAGATATATGTGAATCTATTGGATCTTACACCTGGTAAATAAATACTCCTTTACTGCATACTGCAACCTAATGTATTATTGAGAAATTTAAAGGTATTAAAAGCTATTCGTTCAAAACAAAATTTTTTATATAATTGTGCAATAATAATAGATAATATTGATAGGTATTAACTTTAAACCACTTCGATAACTTATTAGGTATTAGGAAAACACAGGTGTGCCTTCTAGGATAATGGTTGAATTTAGGTTTTGACAATATTATACTTTTCATTAAATTTCGTTGAGTAAAAGGCAGAAACAATTAAATATTGTATAATTATGTATTTTATTAAACAATATAACATTCTAAATAATTCTTAATGAACTTGGTAAACGAAGTTGTCTTTGTCGGTAAAGTTCATCTCTCGATTTCTGGGAGTACAATGTGGATTTCAACGAAGACTGACACCTACGCTGTCGTGATGGTTGCTGTCATAAGGTATAGAGTTCTTGATGACCCACTGAGCTGTTGCTGGGATTTTCAGAAGAAGTGTCCAAAACGACTTGTTTAGTACCACTCTATAAAGATAATCTGATTTTAAGAAGAATACATTAGCATTACAATGAGTTACTTATTTCAAATAATGACTATTGAGTGAAAAAAATTACTCAGAAAGAAATAACATTTCTGTTATTTTATTAATAATATATATGGATACATTTATTGCATTAGGTGTAACAATTATCAAAAGTAATCGTAATTGTATTTTGGCGTACCTCTGGATGAAGTATTTTTAATTGTATGAAATTAAAAACAAAATAAGAAAACACTTATTGGTACTGTTCCACTGTTTTTATTTAGATGTTAAAACATCAACATTTTAATGTTTCTTTTAATAAATTTAATTTTTTACAGTTATCAAAAAGTTTATGTACCAAGTTGTTTTTGTTGTATAACTTATAATAAAAGGGCGACTAAGTAAATATTGACACGTATTCAAACTCCTCACACTACTATTATTTAACAATTTACTGTCTAAATAACACTTCTATTATCAATTAGTTAATAATTCATCACTATATATACACTTTATCACTTCTTCGCTCTTTCTTCTCTCTATATCGCCTTGAACTCTCTGACTTATAAATTAAAAGTTTTTAGGCGATAAAAGATAAAAAAATAGGCTTGTGCGTCTGTACGACCGAATGATAAAAGTATAATGTATGTACATATGTACTACAGTTTCAGTTCAAAATTAGATAACAAGTCTTCATTTCTTTAGCTTCAGGCTGTCAATCCAATGAAGACTTCTAAGGATATTTTACAGTCACGCAGAATGTAATAGACAACATAACGCCTTGCAATTTCTGAATCCACAGTGTTAATGTTATAAGTTCTTTTCTTAATAAAACTTATCCTGTTAGCATAGACGCACACTGTAGCTGAATTGATCATTTATTAAAAATATGGTAGATGTTACTAGATGAGAGTTATACTCATGCATTTTTACTTAAAATAGACAAACCTACTTTGTGCATTATCTGTTTTAATTCCAATTTCACTATTAAGTTTTCACTTTTTTGAAGGACACCATGTTCTACAACTACAAAGTGTGTTAGAATTGTAGAAAACTTTCTTCGCTTTCAAACTAAAATGAATTTGCATCCTTTTTGACTTCTCACGCTGTAGTTTTGGGTAAACTTTTCGTATTGGTTACCAAGCTGTCAACTATACATTGGTCTATAAAAATTGACGTAATTTCTTAGTGCATCTTTACTTTTTGTAATTTGGTCGGCTGTGTTGCTATTCAATGACTAATTAAAGTTGTCGAATGGATCTGCTTGTTTAAAGTACATATAGGCACTACAGATAAATATATTTCACCATCTATGGTATTATCTTACGTCTAAGTAATTAATTCATTACGCACTTACGTAATAAACAAACAGGTTAAGGAAATTATAACTGTGTGCTTCATTACACTACATCATTGTTACATAGATAACTTACGAGCATTGTTTAGAAAAGTAGCATGCTGAATATATATTGTACACCGCATAAATGGATTATGTAATGGATTTGGAAAATCTACCACATCATGTTGAAATTTATTATATGGGACATGACTAAAGTATAGAACCACACCATTAGAAAATGTAAAGAAGAAAATTCAGTTACGAAGAAACATGCGTTTTAGTAAACAGTATTCCACAAAGGCATTCGAAGAAATTTAATAGTGAGAGTGTGACATGCATGGAAGATAAGAGACTTAAATGTAGTACTTTGATGTTGGTAATAGCATTAGAAGTTATGCACTCTATCGAAAGGAGTGTAGTAGTGGGTACTAAAGATTTGATGGAAGTAGAAACAAACATAAAGACATTCACTACAAACCTTTTCAATCTAGAGATGTTACGATTTCCTCATTGATAAGCATCTTTAGAAAAAGTATACTGTCGATGATCTGCAAAATGAATAGTTCGTGACGATGGATGGCCGAGAGGGGGCCCTTTGCTAAATGTATGTCTGTTCGCAAGAATTCTGTTTCAAAGAGTATGTTGAATAATAACGACGAGAAGAAAATCTCTGGAACAATAACAGGAAACATTAATTTCTAAAGAAATGTCGCATAGGTACAAAATGCACATCGATAATAGTTTTGTTCTGGCAATACTACATACTTTTCAAATTACCAATTGTGATAAAAAGAATTGTTATCGTAATATAAAATATAAAGTAGTTCGAAGTGGTCAGTGTTCTGTCGAAATTACCAGACGCGCTAATGAGATCCAAAAGGATCGAAATCACGATCCTCGTCTGGCAACACTGACTACTTCGAATTTGTTTGTTCGATTTTGGTAACTTGCCTATCACGTAGTGGTGAGCTACGCCGTGGATTAGTTCAGCAACTAGATACTAAATGTAGCATTGTACTACAGATGACGTTTACCGCGCCATTTGTGTTATTTTATAAGGAAGTTGTCAAAATTTACGAGAATATTCCTGCATTAGTCAACATAGCTACTTATAATAAACTATCTTCATACATGCTCCCATATTTTCCGCTGTTGTAGATTTGCTTTCAATTTCTAAGATGTAAATAAACGCAAAAGTAGAAGTAATGCATTTTATTCGATTTTTCAGAAAAACTAATTTACTCTAAGACAGTCTGACGAAATTTCATTAAGATGAAATGACAATAAATTTTATCTATGATTAAAACCTTTTCATTGACAACAGTGTTAAAATTTAAACAATTATATCAAATAGAAAAGTTTAACACGTAAATTTATAAAGACTATCTTTAGTAATAAATTTTCCTGCTTAATTTAACAGAATTATTCCTTAATTTGAGGAATTAATTTTTTAAATTTCTTTTATAAGCATTTTGTGATTCAGAGATCTTTCATAAAGAAGAAAGAAAAATAAAAAAACTTTCGTTCCTGATTACAACTCAGAAGCTCAGGAAAGCGCCTCAACATTAAATAATCAATTCAAAAATATGAAATATTAATTAATTACTCTATTATATTTTTAAAATGAAGTTATGTCAAATCACCCGAACGTTTCTAGTAGATGCGTAGCGAATAACTACACTGATCAAATTGAAAGAATCTAGTACGCAATAAATAATTTTTTAAAAATTTATTATGAATTAATACTATCAAGGTTTCCTTCTAGGAATTTTAAGGTATAAATTATATTATTTTGTAAATTTTGCGCAATTACTGATGCAGAGTGTCTTACGGTGACCATCCATTAGAATATTTCGGAAGCTTGCTCGATTTAAATTTTGGAAATTTGTACAATAGCGTCATTGGGTATGCTCTTCATTATTTTAAAATGTACACCCTATATATTATGACGGTTTTTAATTTTACTTATGATTTTAGGTAGACTTTCATAAGGCTCTTCTACTTCAAAAATTTGCCGTTTTCGAGATATTATTTCTTTTTTATAAATAGCAGAGAGCAGTAAATAGCAAAACAACATGCCTATTGTACAATAAGAAAGCTGGAGCAATGATATTTTGAGAACCCTTAAAGTTCCCGTCCATACTTTCAAAGTGAATTAACTACATATAGGGTGTTAGCTATTTTATAACGAATTTGGTTAGCTTCTAACAGTCGTAAGACTATTTTTTGGAATGGAATACCCTGTATATATTTTCATAGCCTTATACAGAATTTTATCCTCCTTCAAATTATATATTTTCAACTGATATCGTTAATGATTTATTTCAGAGTCGGGCAAACTTTAACTTCGTAGGAGCTGCTAGCTGAGGTTAGTTTGGGTCACTCCGTACCCTTCAATGAGTACGAGAGAGTAAGCAGTACAGACCCATATTGCTGCCTCCTTTCTTCTCTCTTCCACTACCATATTAAGCCCTCTCGTAGACGAGCGAAGCCTCTCTTGCAACTTAAATAATAACTACGAAAATTTTCTAATGATCTTCCCGCAGCTTAGAGGTAACATGCCGGAATACGGTTGCAATAGTATTGGGTTCGGCTATGGAAGAGGGGACTCACCTACGAAATGGAAGGGATAAGAAAAGGAAAGAATCATCTCACTCGCACTCACAATGGAGCAATGAGGAGCTTCTTGGCTATATCTGAGGAGCACCTGGCAGTCAAAAGTCTAATTTGTCCGGCTCTGATTTATTTTATTGATTGTTTATTTGCTTTATTGGCTATTGTTATCTATAGTCTACTGTATTGCAAATGACTGCTTAATATTCTTCTCAATTTGAATAAGTATTTTCATTTTTCATTCTTAATAAAGATAATGTTTAATACTTGACACTGAAAATCAAAACATTTAATTATTAAACTGTCAATATGCGTTTTTCAGTGACAACAATTAACTTATTGTATTTGTTTTGAAGTTCTGCTAATTTTACAGCTATATTCGTAAGATAGTAGCTTTCACAAGGCACAGTAAGTAATTTGAAAACTAGAGATGGGTTTAGCGAATCATAGTACCATTCGAAACAGAACAAAATTTTGTATAAAGCTGTGAAAATATATACAGAATATTCCTTTTCAAGAAATAGACTTACGATTGTTTGAAGTTAACCAAGTCCGCCAATAAATATCATTCACCCTGTATATAATTAACTCATTTTGAAAGTATGGACGGGAAGCTTAAGGGTGCAGCTATCTCTCCTGAAAATATTATTGTTCCAGCTTTCATACGGTAAAATAGGTATGCTTTTTCGCTACCTACTGTTCTGTGCTACTACTTTTAAAGAAAATTAATACCATAGAAACGGTAAATTATGGAAGTACGAAAGCCTTATGTATGTCTACCTAAAATCATAAGTAAAATTCAAAGCCGTCTTAATATGCTTGGTATTCCATTTAAAATAATGAAATTGATATCAACATCTGGTATAACCGAAAGTGCTACGAGGGTGGATTGATAAGTTTCCGGCCTAACCAAGAGATGACGCCACTAGGCCTACCTTGAGGTGACATTCTATAGTACCATCCTTGGATAGCTTGTAGCTATAGTTTCAGCCCGATCTCCTTGCTAGTGTAGGTTTGACAGCACGCTGAACAAGACGCCTCTGTGGTTT